GAGCAGCATCATCATCAGCAGCAGCATCGTCATCATCATCAGAATCATCATCATCATCATCAGCATCATCACCATCATCATCATCAGCATCATCATCGTCATCGTCATCGTCATCATCATCAGCATCATCAGCATCGTAATCATCATCGTCATCATCATCACCATCATCAGCAGCATCATCAGCATCATCAGTATCCTCATCCTCATCCTCCTCCTCCTCCTCCTCCTCCTCCTCCTCCTCCTCTTCCTCATCCTCCTCATCTTCCTCCTCCTCATCATCCTCCTTTGTCTTCTGAATAACCCCTCCCTGTCACACCCCGAGGCCAGTCGGGAGGGTGGGCCAGGCGTTTCGCCTGACACTTCCTTACCACTTATGAGCCTGAGGCTGAGTAGTTTTCACACATGGAGAGCGGGTAGTTTTCAAAATGTGGCGCCCGCCTCACGTTGCGCAAGCTCGCGTTCAAAAACTGCAAGAGCTTCACTGAGTGAGGGCAGCTCGTGTTCAAAATGTGGCTCTCGCCCTAGCACCGCGCCGCGCAAATTCGCGTTAAACATTTGCAAGAGCTTCACGGGTTAAGGACGGTTCCTTTTCAAAATGTGGCTCTCGCCTTACGCCGCGCACATTCGTGCTCAAAAATTCACAGGGTTTCACGGATTAAATGCGGTTCCTTTTTGAAATGTGGCTCTCGCCTTACGCCGCGCACATTCGCGTTAGAAACTTCACACGGATCGTGAACAGTCGTCATTAAAAAAAACAAGAGTTTCAATGATGCTCATGGCTAACAACCAGAAATAATGCTTTGGAGCGATTCAGGACTGTCAGGGCGCAACAGTTACTTTGCTTCGCGGCGTTGAAGTCCTAGGAAGAGTGTTCTGGCACGACTCAGGACCGTCAAGACGCAACAGTCACAGTCAGGTTGACTCGCGGCGTTGAAGTCATGAGAGTGGTGCTTCGCCACGCTTCAGGATCGTCAACCAGCTGTCTCCAAACGGGGCACTTCCCTCAGTGGAAAAGGAAACCTTGTATGAGGCTTATGAGGAGGAAGCTTGGAGAGAGGATAGATTCCAACATCGTTGATGAGTCTTGGGTTTGCACTGGTCCTCCTCGTCCTCCTCCTCCTCATCCTCCTCCTCCTTCCTCATTCCCCCTCCTCTCTGCGCCCTCCTTCGCCCACCCTATCGCGGCCCCCGCCGCCGCCGCCGCCGCTCGCCGCCGCCGCCGCCGCCCACATCAGGCTTAAAGACCAACTCAAGGAGGTTTTGGTCGTCCTCATGGAGCCCAGTAGCGTCCCCAATCGCGCGCAAAGCAGACATAACGCATCTCTCTCACATGACGCTAGCAGGCGCTATTTAAACGCTATTCGGCAACAGGGGGCCATTGTGTGCTATTTGGCGCTACTGCGCGCTATTGGTCACTATTCGCCGATATACTTTCAAGACAAGACGGGCGGGAGCTTCCGTAAATTACCATCTAACGTCAGGCCGCTGCCGGCTCACCCGCCGTCGCTCGCCGCCGTCGCCGCTGCCGACTCCGTCGCCGCCGCCGTCGCCGCCGCCGTCGCCGCCGCCGTCGCCGCCGCCGTCGCCGCCGCCGCCCTTGGCGGAAGCAAAGGCCGCGCCTGTCCGGCCCGGCGGCGCGCCGGACGCCGGGCCCTCCACCACGCAGGCCTCCTCGGTGGAGGCATTCCAGATGGAGCAGGCTGCAGATGGGGTCGGACCGAGCCGCATCACCGATACATCGGCGATGCGTCTCCAGACACCCGGCGTTTCGAAAAAGTCTGTACGAAGGTTTTTCAATGTCTTCGGCCTCTCTGGGCCCTCACAGGGCCTTCGGGGCAGTTAAGAAACGACTAGGGGATGAAAACCCGGCCCTGGGGAAATGGTCGAGAAGTCGGGGTCCCGTGTCTCGAAAAAATCGAGACTCCAGATGTCTGGGTCGGCGACGGCGGGATGGAGAAGAAGGGGCTCCAAATCGCGCCGCATCGCCGATGCATCGCCGATGCGGCGCGATCCTCCGGCCCCACCTGCTCTGGCCCCACCCAGGAGGCCTGGACTCGGGGGGGGGGGGGGGGCACCGAGGCCCTCGCTGGGGGGGCGGGCGGGCGGGCCTGCCTGTGCGGGCGAAGGCCTCCCGCAGGGGTCACTACCAGGTGCCACAGACATCAGGAGAGCACGACGGCGGAGGCGCGGAAACGTGTGCTTGCCAGGCCCACAGGGCGTGGCGGGCCGCGCTGGGCGGGCTAGAACTGCTGAAGGTACCAGCTTGGAAGGCATGCGGCGCTGGACGTTTCGGAAAGGGTCATCGGCCCAGCAGTCCACGGGTCCTCTGGCCACCATTCGTTAAGCAGCAACCCTGATTTGGAGCATCGCAGAGGACCCCCATGAGGGCGAGCTACTCAGGGAAGCTGTTCGCCAGATCCCTGTCGGACCCCACTCGACACAGCCTGACACTCTTCTGCCCGACCCTTGCACGTCTCGGACAAGCACGCTGTCATGAGGACGTGATCACTAACGCCGAGTGTGCAAAGACAGACAACAATGCGATTCCCAGGGTGCGGAGTGGTTGCGCCAGTCCTCCGCTGGCATCCGCGGCTTCTTCAATATGCTGCACCTCTTAGCGGCCATCTTGATACCGCCAGCTGCCGACGCTGGCGCCAGAGCTGGTGCGGGCGCTGGCGTTGGCGCTGGCGCCGCACCTTCAAGCGCACAGATGGAACAAGGTGCGAAACAAGATGATCACTACACTATTGCACCTCCAACTGAAGCTCTGAAAGGTAAACTTCATTGCGTTGTGGGCTGTATGTTGTGTGGTGTGGACTGCCCACTGTCTATTAAATGGTATGTGTGCATTGTATAGTGTATGCGTTATTCTGGATGTTTGCATTGCGTTGTGCATCGCACTGCGCGAGGTGCACGTTATATTATGTAGGTATTGTCTTGTGTCGTGTATTGTGCGCGTTGTGTGCTGTGTGGTGTGCGTTGTGCTTCGTGCATTTTACGCTCTGCATTGTGCGGTGCGTGCTGTCTGTTGCGCCTTGCCAGAAAAATGATACGTGCCTTATATTGTCTTATGTGTGCTGCGCGTGCGACACGTGCTGCGCGTGCTGCGTCATGTTTAGTGTTGTCTTGCGCTTCATGCGTCGTGTATGTGCGGGTGCGGGCTGCCTCCAAAGGGGGCGGCTCCTGTTTGCGCCCCCCGCCCTGCCAGGATGCCCCCCAGAGACCGCCCCCCCTGAGACGAGGCAAGATTGCCACCAACAGAGCTCAGAGACGGCCTCGAGAGCGACCAGATGGGCCTCATGCCAGCCGAAAAAAACCCAAAGACCCTGAAACGCACCCATGTGTCCCAGACACACCTCAAGAGGACCCAATGGATTTCAGAAGCGCCCAAAACTCGCCAAAGGGGCCTAGCGAGGTCCTCAGAAAACAAAATCCTTGGGGGGTCCAATGCGTTGTGCTTCCGATGCTTTTAGGCTTGAAATAGCCTTACGCAGGCCTGAGAGAGGCTCAGGAAGCTCCCGCTGCGGCTTTAGACGGCCCCAAGAAGGCTCAAAGACAGCCCCGAGAATGCCCGAGAGCCCCCCAAGATGGCTCAGTACCCCCCTCAGAAAGCTCCATGACAGCCAAGAGATCCGCCCAGACATCCAAGATGGTTCAACCGAGCGTTCTCGGGAGGCTGGGTAAAAGATTCTCACTAAGCAGGCCCCAACAGGCCCCAAGTGGGCCAAAGAAGCCCCAAAGCATACCCCCTCCCCCGATACCCCCCCACGAAGCCTCAAAAGAGCACTCCAAAAGCAGCGCGACAACCATACCATGCGTTACGGCACAACGGCGCCACGCTGCTGTAGCATTGTGTGGGGCCACCTCCCGGGACGGCCCCAGAATGGCTCAGTACCGAGCCTGCTCGGAGACCTCGGCAGAATCACCCCGCACGCACCCGGATGCTGCGCTGGCGCAGTGGGGGGGGGGGGGAGGGCAAAACACGGCTACTCCCGAGACCCCTCCCAGGGTGCGCTCTTACCCGGATTTCGAAGAGAATCCATCCGCGGCGACGAGGAGCTCTCTCGGACGAGCAGCGGCATCGGCATCTCTCGCTTCCTCGGAGGTGGGGCTCGCCGCACGCAGCTGGGCACGGAAAGCTCGAAAGCGAGCCGATGACGTCGTCGACGTCGTCGTCGGCTCCCAGAGAGCGGCGGCGGCCACGGCGCCCGGCGCCTGCGCCCGCGGCGCGCCCGCAGGCCCTGGCCGGCACGTGCCCCGTCGGCTCCGCGGCGGGCTCCCGCGCGGCAGCACGCCGCGGGCTCGCGGGCGCGGCGGCGGCCCGGGGCGCTGGCGGCCGGGCGCTGGCGCAGAGAGCAGCACCTCTCGAGGGTGCGCGCCGAAGCTGGGACGCGGAAGGGCATGCTGTGGGCGTCCAAAAAACCGCGTGGTGGCAGACCGTGCGGTGACCTCGAAATCCCGCAAGACTTCACCGCCCGGCCCGTTCGAAGGAGGAGGAGGAGGAGGAGGAGGAGGAGGAGGAGGGGGCTCCAGAATCCGTGACTCGTGCCACACGTGCGAACTCTGATCGGAAGATAGGGAACGCAAAGTGGGGAGAGTGATTGCCAAAAACGGCCGCCAGGATTCTGCCCTGCGCAGGAGGAGGAGGGAGAGGAGGAGGAGGAGGAGGAGGAGGAGGAGGAGGAGGAGGAGGAGGAGGAGGAGGAGAAGGAGGAGGAGGGGGAGGAGGGGGAGGAGAAGGAGGAGGAGGGGGAGGAGGGCAGGGGGGGGGACGCGGACGGATATGCTATGGTTGGGAACTTCTGCTCAGCGTATCCCGGCGGCAGCCCCGGCGGCACGCTGTGCCCTGCGGGCGGATGGTGTGCCACTCCGCTCTGCGGGGCGGGGGGCTGGGAAGAGCTCGGGACGTTGACGCCTGGAAATGGGGCCGTGGTCAGCGTGTCGCACCAAGGCGTGGTAGGCCAGAACCAGCGGAGCGACACGTTGAGCAAAAGCTCCTTACCGTAGTGCCAGGCGTCCCCCTCGGAGTTGAAGGCCGAAACCGAACATGTAGCACAATCATGATATTGGCATATCGTTACACAGGCGGTATGGCCAGAAAGCGCCCGCCATCGAGCATGTACTGTGAGCGCGCGCGTCGCCCCTGGAGGCCGACGAACATCGCGTAAGTCTGGTCATGTGATGCCGAGAGGCCCTGGCCCCACCCGCAGCGGGAGACTCAGGCGGCTGTAATCACATCCGCGGCCGCGGGTCGGCGGTCGATCGAACGAAGGGCCCGCTGAGGTCAAAGCTCCCTGCCTCGGTCTTGCAGCAAAAGCTCCTTCAGAAGGTCAGGGTCTCCCACAGGCGTTCTCAAGATGTGTCGTGACCCTTGCCAAGCGAATGAGAAGGACCTGTGGAGCCCTGAAGAGGTAAGAAGCCTCCCGTATGCCACACACGACAATTCGGGATCCCGGCATCCTGAAGTGCTACCGTAAGTCCACGCTCCAGCGGCGACAAGGACGACGACCGTGACGACCATGACGAGGACGACGGAAGGCCTCCGAACCAAACTCAGAAAGGGCCGCCGATGGGCCGCCGAGGGGCCGCACTAGGGCCGCGCGAGGGCCGCTGAGGCGGGCTGCCGAGGCGGGGCGCCTGCGTCCGTCAGGGCCGGCGGGCGCTCGCGGGCGCCCGCGGGCGCTGGCGCGGGCAGGGCGCCCATCTGCCCGCTCTCTGCGGCCCTCTCGAACTGGCGCAGGCGGGCCGTCAACTGGGGAGGGCGGGCGCGGCGGGGGTGGTCACCGCCGCCGCAGTCGGCACCGGCGTCGGGCGGCGAGCGGCAAGCGACGACGGCGCCCCCTGGACGACGACGACGACGACGACGACGACGACGACGACGACGACGACGACGACGACTACGACGACGACGACGACGGCGGCGGCGGCGGCGGCGGCGGCGGCGGCGACGACGACGACGACGAAGACGGCGGCGACGACGACGACGGCGATGACGGCGGCGACGACGGCAAGCGGCGCCGAGCGACGGCGGCGGCGGCACGTGGCGGCGGGCGGCGGGCGAGCGACGGCGGCGAGCGGCGTCGAGCGTCGAGCGGGCGGCGAGCGGCGGCCTGCGCCAGCCGCACCGCCTCCTCGGCGCCGCGCAGGCGCTGCTCCCGCAGCGCCTCGCGGAGACGGCGGGCCTCCGCACGCAGCTGCGCCGCCTGCGCGGCGGGGCGAGCTCGGCGCGCAGAGGTACACCGAGGAGCTCTCCCCAGACCCCCTCGGCAAGACGAGGCTACAGGCCTTTGAAGAGATTGGCGAACACTCATGCCACACTCATCTGTCAGTGCCCCCCCAAGATCAATGCTGGCGGTGGGCTGGAGGAGTTGCATTTCGACCGCAGTCTTCCCCGCGCGTGCCAACTTTGAGTTTTGGGGGGCGGGGGAGGGGGTCGACTAATTGTTTCCCTCTACCGGAGGGCAGGCACAAAACCGGACAGGGACAAGCCAGGGATCGCCGGGATCTCGAGGCGAATCCGGCGGCGGCGACGAGGGCCTCCCGGGAGGCCCCAAGAGGGGGAAACGAGCCAGGGGTAGTGGTACGGGTAACTTTCCCTCCTCTGAAAAATGGGTCGAGACTTCCGAGGGCCCCGCACTCGGACAGGCCAAGGCATCGGAGCTCTGGGGAGGTCCACCCCGGAGCTCTCCGGCCGGCGGCGCACGGGGCCCCGAGGCCCTCGCGTCAACGTGTCGTTGACGGCGGGCGCGGCGCCTTCGCCTGGCTTCGGCCAGGGCCCCCGCAGAACGAGGAAGGGAGGGTTCATGGCTCTGGTCGTGTGTCGTGTCAACCCTCTGCTCCGACGTCGCAGCTTGTTCGCGACGCGGGCCCCGCAGGAGATAGATCGACCCGTTCCCCCCGGGCCAGTTCTTCACCCTGGGACGTTTCTGACGGCCCTAAGGACAGGAAGCGGCCACTGGAGGCAGAAAGCTACGGAAAGCTGGCCGGCACGTTGCTAGTTACGTCGTCCAGATCTGAGGGCCCCACGACGTCGCACCTTCTGGGAACCGCGCAAATCTGCACAAAGGTATTGGGCCCTGTCCTATGGGGCACCGCAGCAACGCCACAGAACCCCCCACACTGTATACTTTGTTGGCCAGGTCTCCGGGCAACAAATGTCAAAGCATATTCCCTTTTTTATTTTTGTTTGTAATCTGGGGGGTGGGAATCCCCCCCCCCCGGTCCAGACCTTCCGGAATCCCTGGCTTCTGGGGCTCCTGGACGCCCCTGCCGAGGGTCCCATGAGACCTCTGGGCTTCCGAGGAGTCCCTGCCACGTCGTGCAAGCGAGCCGGCGGTAGCCACAAGAGGGTCCAACATGGCCTCCTGATGGCCAAAGAGACCTTCCAAACGACCCCAAGTAAGCCTCCGAATCCAAAACCTGTGCGTTTCCCGAAGGTTTTTGCTTGATTTTGGCATTATCGTTTTTTCGTGCTACAGACGCCCCACGAGGGCTCAAAGGCCCCCAACATCGCCCCAGGACAACCCATCACGGCCCGAGAAGGCTCCAAGGCGGGCGAAGATGCCCCCCCGATCCCCAGAAAAGGCCCAAAGACGGACCTTCAGACCGCCTCCAGGCGCGAGCCCTCCGGCCAAAAAGGACCCACGAAACTGCCAACAGGCGCCCAAACGCCCCAACCAGGGTTCTCGAGGTCCCCAATAAGACCAAAAATAAACCAAAGGGGACTCCAAGTTATCTCCAAACCAGCAACATTGTTTCCGCGACGACCCCGAGACGCCTCCCGCAGACCCAAACATATCGAAGGGGCCTTTGACGTACGACCCCACATTGGCACCCGTCCAGCATTTCCATTAAACATGTCCGAATCCCAGTTTCGCGACGTTCACTCTAGGCACGTGGGTAGGAGGAGGAGGAGGAGGAGGAGGAGGAGGAGGAGAAGGAGGAGGATGGCGTTGATGATGATGATGATGATGATGATGATGATGATGATGATGATGATGATGATGATGATGATGATGATGATGATGATGATGATGATGAGAAGGAGGAGGAGGAGGAGGAAGAGAAGGAGGAGGAGGTGGAGGGGCTTGCGCCGCGGATAAGGTGAGGCCTCGAGGATGATGATGATGATGATGAGGAGGAGGAGGGAGTAGCAGGATCGGGCAGTGCCAAGGGGGGTCACCACTAGGGGCGGTCACCATTTCCTTCGTGGACCTCAGAACGAAGAAGGGGGAGAGGGCACACTAGGGAAGGATAACGAATGGCATTACTATAAGGACGATGTCGGACAAGACAACGAGGAGTTATCGCCATGTTGTATGCTGTACCTTCCTGTCATTCCACCGCGACTTCCACCTGCATGCCAAACTTCAAGGACCAAGGTGCGTGGCGCGAAGCGCCAATGCAGTCTTATGTATATGCATGCATGCACACATACACACATACATACATACATACATACATACATACATGCATGCATGCATGCATGCATGCATGCATACATACATACATACATACATACATACATGCATACATACATGCATACATACATACATACATACATACATGCATACATACATACATGCATACATACATACATACATACATATGTACAGACGTACATACGTACATACGTACATACGTACATACGTACATACATAATGTGTGTATGTACATATTACTACAGACACAGCAAGTTTGGGCCGCAATTTGCCACCAGATGGTGGACATGCACCACATCGTACAGTGGACGTGCTTCTGTCCCCGATCCTCTTCGCGACGCCAAATCTCAGGGTGGGGAGTCTCTGGCCGTCGGCCCGCGCGGAGGGCAGCGCCGCCGCAGGGGGTGGGGGTGGGGGGGGCCGCCGCCGCAGGCCATCTCGCGGGGCACCGGCTTCTGTACACCTGCCTCGGAGCCTGGTCTGGGCGGTCCCGGGCCCCAGGGGAGGGATGCGGCGCGGCCTCCTTGGCCAGGCCACGAGGGTAAGACGAAGCCAGGACGAGGATAAATTCGGGTGAGGATGGATCGGTGATCTCTGAAATCTGGCGGCTCTGGAGGATGTCTCGGGCGCCGCGGCCTCCTCAGAGCGTTCCGGAACGCTCTGAGAGCGTTCCAGAACGCTCTCGAACGGAATTACCCTCGTCCTAGCCCCGTCGGATAGGGGCACCCCAAGAGACCCTCACATGCTCTCGTACGCTCCACAAGAGCGCCAACTATCGTCAACACTCAAAGCTCGCTGCCGAGGGCGGCCTCTGCACCGCCGCTACGAATAGTTGTGCAAAAACACGCGCTCCCCGCGACAGCAGCTCCAAATGAGGCGAGGGCTCTGGAAGCGTTGCCCCCCCTTACACACCTGGAAGCTAGCAGGACCCCAGATTGCAGGTGCGTGATCTGACCGGGACTCCCTTCACCTGATGTATTACTCACTCCTGCAAAGATTCCAGAAAATTCGAAGCAGAGAAAACATTTCACCCCAAGCTTTGTCCTACACAAGTCCAGGCCCAGATATACGAAAGTTGTATGTGAAGAAAGGCTAACGAGAACGCCCAGGGTCCAGTCCAGATTCTTGATATTCTGGCGCGAAATCTGGAATACATGAAAGATGATGTTTTTGTTCCTGGAGAGGTCTGATGGGTGTAATACAGCTGTAGTTCGAGAAGTTATGCAATCCATGGCTAAGAAAACAATTTCCCCGTAAATCCTGGGAGGGGCTCAAAGCCCACGAGATGATTGCGTCTTGGCGCTGTCTTGGGGTCGGATTGAGAGCGTCTCTTGCCCGTTTCCGAAGGCGTTCTTGCTGCGGCCAAATGTGCAGGCACAGAGAACGTGAAAACGGCTGGCGAGAGGCCCGGCGATTCACTCAAGATGCCTCCGGTCCACGACCCCAGGGCGAAAGCCGCTACAGACAGAGGTGGTACGGTGTTCGACCTCTTCTCCCATAAGCCGCACAGAGACACACTATAGCACTATATGTCCGATTCCGGAAACCCTGAACCCAAAAACGTTTGCATCTCTTGGAGCACGTTTCTTGCTTCCGCCGCCTTCCGCCGCCCTTCCGCCGGCTTCCGCCGGCGGAGGCGGCCTCGTTTTACTTCCGCCGACCTTCTGCCACCCTTCCGCCGCCTTCCGCCGTGGAAGACATGACATCTCATTATATCCCCGTAGGCATGGCCATGCTTGGAACGCCCCATATGTCATCCTTGGAATTGCGCGTCGTGTAGTGCATCGTTTCCCGAGCGCTGTGGCCAGAAAGCGACTGTCACGACGCATAAGTCAAAAGATTTCTCGGTGCGCGCGTCGCCCCCGGGGAGAGGGGCGACGCACACATAGTATTAGTATGTTGGAGCGACGCCGATCCCAGGTCTGGAGGTGCTCTTCAGGCCGTTCTGGGATGATCGTCGGCCTGACTTCTTGCGCTCCGTGGTTTCCTCGCGGCCCTCCTGGAGCCTCTCGATGCCGCTTGCAGGGTCGGCGCACTCGGCCGTAATGCCCCTCCAATGTGCCATCCTGTCGGTGATCCTCAGAAGGTGTGTTAGCGCCAACGTGTGCGGGCCCACCGACGCCCTTCAAAACGACAAAGGTGGTACAACGATGGCCGACACAGGCCGAACGAGGTACACACACACACACACACACATTGGGCTAACTTCTGTCAGCGGCAATTTGGGTCCAAGATGCGGTTGGGACAGCCGAGGGGCACATCGGAGCCGAATTGGGCACGGGGGGAAGAAAGAGAGGGCGAAGGGGGGAGAGGAAGCCGCTGGCGGCGGAACACGCTTAGACTGTAAAGCTCTTGCACGTGCGTGCCAGAGCACAGGTTTCCACGGGTAGCGGACCAGGAGTGGCAGGGCAAAACACGTGGCCGCCACAGTGGGCTAGCACATGTCCTGATGATCATCGATCCTGGCCACTGTCCACGACGGAATGTGCGCCGATGCTGGGCCGGACCGGGTCCGGGGCGGGCCTTGCCTAGACTGGTGGCGGGCGTGGGCGCGCATGAAGCTCGCGCCCTCCGAAGGCTCGTACGAGCTGCGGCCAGCGCCCAGGGAGGAGGGCGGCCGCGGCGAGTGGGGGCGGCCCCTGGGAGAAGCCCCGCGCCAGAAGGGGGGGAGGGGCGGAAGGGGTCCACAGAGCACGGCCCACCGCTCTCTCGACGCTCGAGGCTCGACGCCAGGCGCTCGACAGAGGATAAGGACGAGGACGAGGAGGAGGTGGAGGAGGAGGAGGAGGAGGAGGAGGAGAAGGAGGAGGAGGAGGAGGAGGAGGAGGACGAGGAGAGGGAGGAGAGGGGAGAGGAGGAGGAGGAGGAGGAGGAGGAGGAGGAGGAGGAGGAGGAGGAAGAGGCAGGAGGAGGACGAGGAGGAAGAGGAGGAGAAGGAGGAGGAGGAGGAGAAGGAGGAGGAGGAGGACGAGGAAAGGGAGGAGAGGGGAAAGGAGGAGGAAGAGGAAGAGGGGAAGGAGGAGGAGGAGGAGGAGGAGGAGGAGGATGAGAAGGAGGAGGATGGAGCAGGGAGGGAGGCCACGTCATCCGGCTGGCCTGGGCAGTGGTGGCAAAACTACGGACATGGCCCAACGCCCCGTGGCCCCCCATTGCAGCGGGGGTGAAGACCCCTCGGGTGCCCCCGGCAGAGGGAGGAAGAGAGGGATGCAGAGAGGGAGGGAGGGAGGGAGGGATGGGAGTGAGGGAGGGAGGAGAGGGAGGAAGGGAGCGAGGAGGACGGAGGAGAAGGAAGGAGGAGGAGGAGGTGGAGGAGGAGGAGAAGGGGGAGGAGGAGGGGGAGGAGGAGGAGGAGGAGGAGGAGGAGGAGGAGGAGGAGGAGGAGGAAGAAGAGGGGAAGGAGGACGAGGAGGATGAGGAGGAGGAGGAGGAGGAGGAGGAGGAGGAGGAGGAAGAGGGCAAGGAGGAGGAGGAGGAGGAGAAGAGAAGGAGGAGAGAGGAGAGGAGGAGGAGGAGGATGAGGAGGAGGAGGAGGAGGAGAAGGAGGAGGAGAAAGAAGAGGAGGAGGCGAAGAAGCAGGAGGTGGAAGAGGGAAGAGGAGGAGGAGGAGGAGAAGGAGGAGGAGGAGCAGAAGGAGGAGGAGGAGGAGGAGAAGGAGGAGGAGGGGGGAGGAGGAGGGGAATGAGGAGGAAGAGGAGGGAAGGAGGAGGAGGAGGAGGAGGAGGAGGAGAAGGAGAGAAGGAGGGATGGAGCAGGGAGGGAGGCCACGTCATCCGGCTGGCCTGGGCAGTGGTGGCAAAACTACGGAGGGAGGAGAGGAGGAGGAGGAGGAGGAGGAGGAGGGAGAAGGAGGAGAGGAGGAGGAGAGGAGGAGGAGGAGAAGAGGCAGGAAGTGAAAGAGGGAAGAGGAGGAGGAGAGGAGAGGAGGAGGAGGAGGAGGAAGAAAGGGGAAGGAGGACGAGGAGGATGAGGAGGAGGAGGAGGAAGAGGGAGGAGGAGGAGAGGAGAAGGAGAAGGAGGAGGAGGAGGAAGGAGGAGGAGAAGGAGGAGAGGGAGAGGAGGAGGAGGAGGAGGAAGAGAAGGGGGAGGAGGAGGAGGAGGAGGAGGAGGAGGAGGAGAAGGAGGAGCAGGAGGAGGAGGAGGAGCACCCCGTAGCCTGAGCGCAGCGTCGGAGGAGGAGGTTGAGGAGGAGGAGGAGGAGGAGGAGGAGAAGGAGGACCAGTGTAAACCCAAGAGTCATCAACGATGTCCCTGCAACGGTTCGTCTCCATTGAAGGAACTGCCTCGTTTTAATATTCCCGTTTGAAGACCCGGAAGCGTGCCACAACATTGTTCTCGGGATTCCAACGCCCAGATCGACCTGACTGTTGCGTCTTGACGATTCTGAGCCGTGCCAGAACGCCATTCCTAGGACTTCAAACACAGAAAATCAACGTAGCTGTTGCACCAGCATATTCCTGAATCCTTCCAGAAAACCATTTCTGATGGAAACCCATGAAAATCTTGAGAATGCACGCGGCGCTAAGGCGAGAGCCACATTTTGAAAAGGAACCACCCTCAATCCGTGAAACTCTTGCAAATGTTTGAAACGAATGTGCGCCGCGCTAAGGCGAGAGCCACATGCTGAAAACCACCCGCCCTCAATCCGTGAAACTCTTGCAAATGTTTGAAACGAATGTGCGACGCGCTAAAGCAAGAGCCACATTTTGAAAAACACCCGCCCTCAATCCGTGAAGCTTTTCCATTTTGTCAAACGAATGTACGCCGCGCTGAGGCGAGAGTTACAAATTGAAAACGATCCGCCCTCCAGCGGTGAAACTGTTGCCAATTGTAAGTTTCAGAATCGTAAATGGTGAGGACGTCTTAGGCGAAACGCCCGGACTGCCCTAAAAACTGGTGTCGGGATGCGACAGGTGGAAATTATTTGTAAGAAAAAGGAATGGAGGAGGAGGAGGAGGAGCAGGAGGAGGAGGAGGAAGAGGAGGAGGAGGAGCAAGAGGAGTGACGGGGAACAGGAGGAGGCAAGCGCACAAATCGGGAACAGGAGGAGTAGAAGGACCACGACGACGACGACGACGACGACGACGACGACGACGACGAGGAGGGGAGGGGGAGCAAGAGGAGGGAAAGGAGGAGGCACCGCTGCGGCAACGGCGCCGCCGACGCCCCCGCCGCCGCCACCGACGACGACGTCCAAGCGGCGGCCGGCGGCCGGCATGTGACAGGCGATTGGCGATTGGCGAGCGGCGGGCGGAGAGGCGGCCTCATGCTCGGGCGGCGCGGCCGAGAGCGGCGCCCCGACGGCGGCGGCGTGCTCGCGCCGCAGGCGCTCCAGCTCGGCGGGCGAAGCGCGCCGCAGCAGCTCCTTGCAGGGGGGAAAGAGATCGGTGATCGAGAGGGGTCGAGTATCGAGGAGGGCTCCGCAGAGGGCGGGGCGCCCCCCGACCGCGCCCCGCCTGCCCATCTCTGCGCGCCACGGCAGCTCCTCAAGGCGGCTGCTCCACCCCTCGGCGGCGCTCAGCTGCTCACCCAGCGAGCGGCTCAGCTTCTCCTCCGCCCCGAGGCCGTCCCGCAGGTCCTCCAGCCGGCTGACCAGGTCGCACTGCTTCTGCGCCCAGGCCTCCTCGCGCTCCACGAGGCCGGCGTGGCTACGCTGCGCCAACGCCCGCTCGCAGCCGCTCTGGGCGAGCTGTTGCCGCAGGTCCCGCCGCTCGCAATCGCCGGCGAGCGCCCTGGCCTCCAGCTCGGCCGCCTGCTCGAGGCCCTCCCGGAAGTCCCGCCTGCAGCGCTCCAGCTCGGACGCCTGCCGTGCAGCCTCGGCCTCGGCCTCCTCCGCCCGCGCCGCGAGCGCGTCCCGCTCCACGCGGAGCTCCAGGGCCTGCCCCTGCCAGCCCTCCAGCTGCTCCCGCTGCCGCCGGAGCTCCTCGAGCTGCCCGCTCTGCATCTCGAGGTCTTCGCGCGCCTCCTCGGCCGCCTCCTCGGCCTGCAGCGCCCGCGCTCGCAGGGCGTCCGCCTCGGCCTCCAGCTCCCGCGCGCGGGCGCGCGCGGCCCCCAAGGCCGCGGCGTCGCGCTCCAGAACGCCCCGGCAGTGCGCCAGGTCCTCGCCGGCCTGGCGCAGCTCCTCCTCCAGGTCGCCCTCCCGCCCGCGCAGCGCCTCCAGCGCGCCCCTCGCCTCTCGCAGCTCCGCCTCCAGGGCCGCGCACTGGGACCGCAGTAGCAGCGCCTCCTCCTCGCGGGCGGCGCACTGCTCGCCGCTGGCCGCCAGCGCCTCCTCCGCGGCGTCCGCGCGCCGCTCCTCCTCCTCCGCGCGCCACTCCGCGGCGCGCAGCTGCTCGCGGAGCTCGGCCCCCTCCACGAGCAACGCCTCGGCCCTCTGCCTCGAGAAGGGGAGGGAGAAGAGCTGTGCACCTGTGCACAGACCCTGGCCAGGATCATCCCCGGACCTCCAGCGCACTGAGACAACCCAAGGCGAATGTGCTTCGCTTGCTTCCGCCTCTGGGGGCCTTCGTCAGGCCCCAGGACTGTCAAATAACGACTCGGGATGAAAGACCGGCCCTGGGGAGGGGGTCGAGACTTCTGGGGACCCCGCACTGAAAAAGTCAAGGAATCGGATCACTGGGTCCTGAGCCCAGAGTTGGTGCACATACCCGCCTGGCTTGGCCAGGGAGGGTGGCCAGGGAGCCTGCTCTGGGCCCAGGACTACGCATGGCCAGGGCCGGTGCGCATATGCACCGTCCTCTGCGCCCACGATGCCTCTCGTCCCGCAGCTGGGCAGAGGCGCCCTGGAACTCCTGCTCGTAATGGTCCCTGAGGCTGCGGGCGCACTCAGCGTCCACCGTCAGCTCGGCGACCCGCTGGGAGCCCTCCTGCGTCAGCTGCTCCTGGAGGCAGGCGTTCTGACTCTCCAGCGCCTGCATCCTGTCGCGGAGCTCCTGGTCGGTGGCTCAAAGATGGGATCCTGTGGGATGGGGTCCTAAGGACGAGGTGCCTTGAACAACGAAAACCCACTCTTGGATCCCATCCTGTCCTTAGGCCCACATCCCTCAGGACCCCATCTTTGAACCACCGACCTGGGTGAACGGCTCCACCACGCCGCCCGACTCCAGCGAGCCGGGGACCCCCTCCTTGAGGGCGTTGAGGTCCATCTGCGTCTGCAGCAGCTGCTCCTCTCGGCGACGCGCGGGGCAGGGAGGCGGGGCACCTTCTCAGAAGGCAGCCGCCCGCCGCCCTGCCCCGGGTGCTCGGCTCGCTCGCCCCGGAGCCCTCCCGGGTCCAGCCTTGGCCCGGTCTCCGAGCCGCGCCGGCCTTGGCGACGAGGGAGGGCCCCAAAGGCAAACATAACAAAAACAAGGAAAACGAGGAGGAGGAGGAGGAAGGAAGAGCGCCTCCAGGTTGGTGAAGGGGGCGTCCGAAGCCAGCCTTGACCACGAGCCCACCCCCTCCACTACCATCTGCAAGGGGCGCACGACTGCCCGGCCCGTACCGTCCCAAAGACGTCCCGCACGGAGTTCCGCCCGACATGATGGCCCGCGCATCCCAACCGACACCCGCGTGCGCACGAAACCCGAACCCAGACCCCCGACGTTGCGATTTCTTCGCAACGTGTTCTCCCAGAGGTCAGGACCCCCTTTCTGGCAACTGTTCTTCATCCCAGGCCGTTTTTTGACCGTTCCGAGGCCATGCGAGGGCCCCGAGAGACCAAAAATCGCTAAATGCTGCGCGCGGGGGTGTGTAAAGGCGCTCGCCTGGAGCTGCCAGAGCCGAGCCGAGGCCGAAGAGCCCTCGCCGAGCACTCGCTATGGGCAACGATTGTGCGATTGGCGATCCCTGGACCTCTCCTGGGGTGCGTTCTGCCAGAATCTCGAGGCGGATCCAGCCGTGGCCACGAAGGCGAAGATCAAAAACCTCGGTCCTCGATCCTCGAAACACTGATCGGGCGTTGGCAGGACTGGGTTGGGACCTGGTTTACTGATGAGTACCAGGGGACGCCCCCCCGCCCCATTCAACTCACCGGAACTGCCGTCACCCGACAAACACTGGCTACGGCAGTCACTAGCCGTCTCCCCTGAACCGGTGTCCCCTAACAATGCCCCTTGAACGACGAAGAGCCCTCGCCGACGAGCCGCCAGGGCTCCTCCAGCAGGGCCTTGTCGCCCGCGAGGCGAAGCCTCTCGCTCTCGGCGCAGCCGGCGCGCGCCTCCGCCTCGCGCAGCTGCGTCTGGCAGTCCTCCGCCAGCGCTGCCGCCGCCGCCGCCGCCGACGGGAAGGTTTCTTCGGGCGGTGGTCGGCCTCTCGGGGCCCTCAACGGGCCCAAGGACCGTCAAAAAATATAACTCGGGGTGGAACGCCGGTCGCTGGGAAACGGTCCAGAGCTCTGGAGGTCCACGTCATTCATGAAAAAATCACGGCGTCTCCACCGGGGCTTTTTCGGGCGGAGTTCGACCTCTCGGGGCCATCATTTGGGGGGATCCTTCACGGGCGTCCCGAGGGGCACCCTCGCCGCCACGGCTGGATCCGCCTTGAGATCTTCGTCATTTGAGGGTCTCGCCGTCGGCATCGTCGCGGGAAGCCAGGTCAAATCATCACCACAACCACCCACCCTCCATCATCATCATCATCATCATCATCATCATCATCATCATCATCATCATCATCAGCAGCAGCAGCAGCAGCATCATCATCATCATCATCATCATCATCATCATCATCATCATCATCATCATCATCATCATCATCATCATCATCATCATCATCATCATCATCATCATCATCATCATCATCATCATCATCATCATCATCATCATCATCATCATCATCATCATCATCATCATCATCATCATCATCATCATCATCATCATCATCATCATCATCATCATCATCATCATCACCATCATATCATCATCATCATCAGCAGCATCATCATCATCATCATCAGCAGCAGCAGCAGCAGCCGCATCAGCATCAGCATCATCAGCATCATCAGCATCATCATCAGCATCATCATCATCCTCATCAGCAGCAGCATCAGCATCATCATCATCATCATCATCATCATCATCATCATCATCATCATCATCATCATCGTCATCATCTTCATAATCAGCATCATCCTCATCATCCTTATCATCCTCATCATCAGCAGCATCATCAGCATCATCAGCATCTTCATCCTCCTCATCATCAGCATCAGCATCATCATCATCATCATCATCATCATCAGCAGAAGCATCATGATCACCATCATCACCATCACCATCAAAAGAATCATCATCATTATCATCAGCATCAACATCATCATCATCATCATCATCATCATCATCATGATCACCAGCATCATCATCATCATCGTCATCATCATCATCCGCATCCGGATCAGCATCATCATCAGCATCATCATCGTCATCATCATCGTCATCATCAGCAGCATCATGATCATCATCATGATCAGCATCATCATCAGCATCATCATCAGCATCATCAGCATCATCATCCGCATCAGCATCATCATCGTCAGCAGCATCATCATCGTCATCGTCATCAGCATCATCATCATAATGATCGTCATCATCGTCATCAGCATGAGCATCAGCATCATTATCTGCATCATCAGCATCGTCATCATCAACATCATCACCATCCGCATCATCGTCATCATCATCATCAGCAGCATCATCGTCATCATCATCGTCGTCTTCAGCCTCGTTACCAGCATGACGATCACCTCCATCACCACCATCATCACAGTTATCACAGTCGTCATCCTCATCATCATCGTCATTGTCATCATCATCTTCATCATCATCATCATCATCATCATCATCATCATCATCATCGTCAACATCACCATCACCATCAACAGCATGATCATCAGCGCCATCATCACCATCATCATCAACATCGGCATCATCATCGTCGTCATGGCCATCATCATCACCATCACCATCACCGTAATCACCATCATCATCACCAACATCATCATCAGCAGCATAATCATCACCAACATCATCACCATAATCTGCATAATACCTATCAGCAGCATCATCATTATCATCATAATCATCATTTTCACCAGCGTCAACATCAGCATCATCGGAATCACAACCACCCTTACCGTCACCAGCATCATCATAAGCAGCGTCATCAAAATCAGCAGAAGAAGTAGCAGAGGCATCCTCAGCATCATCAGCATCATCGCCAGCATCATCATGATCATCACCGCCACTGTCATTATGATCATTACGATCATCGTCATCAGCAGCATCATCCTTATAATCATTATGGCCACCATCAGCAGCAGCAACGGTATCTTCATCATCATCATCATCATCATCATCAGCAGCATCAGCATCATCATCATCATCGTCATCATCAGCGTCATCACCATGACCATCATGACCGTCATGATCATCATCAGCATCATCCTCATAATTTGCCTCAGCCTTAGCCTCATCATCAGCATCATCAGCATCATCATTATCATTATCAGCATCCACATCATCATCATCATCATCATCATCGTCATCAGCATCGTCATCATCATCATCATCAGCATCACCTTGATCAACATCACCATCAATATCATCATCAGCAGCAGCAGCATCACCATCACCATCATCAGCAGCATCATCATCAGCATCGTCATCATCACTATCATCATCAGCAGCAGCATCATCATCATCGCCATGGAGCCAGACGTACTTCGCGCCAGACAAACCGTGTCTGGATGATCTGGTGCCTGGTTTGGAAGCCCGCGCGTAAGCGCCCATTTCTAGCGCTGGGAGCCTCCTGGGAAAGCCTGGGGGCCCCTTGGGACCGTCTTGGGGCCTTTTTGAAAGGTCTGGGCCTCCTCCAGAGGCCGTCGTCGGCTCTCGTGGAACTCTCGCGGGGCAGTCCTTGGCCATCTTGGGGCAATATTGGAACTCTCTTGGGCACCGTCTGGAGCTCCGAGACCATCTTGGAACTACAGGTCGTCAACAAGTAAAATTCCAGAAAGTTGCGAAAACTCTAAAAAGAATTCCATTGGTTTTCGACTGATTCGGTCCCTTGGAGGTCCTCTGTGGGCACTCTGGCAACTTCTTGGGGCCGTCTTGGCGCCCCTTTGTAGCGCCGGGAGCCTCCTGGGGTTATCCGGGGGCTTCTTGGGACCGTCTTGGGGCCCCCTTGGAACTTCTGCAGAGCTCTGGAAGCCCCCCGGGTAGCCCAGGAGAGGCTCCCGAGAGGAGATGCCCCTTAGGGAACCCTGGGTGCCCCTGATGTGCTGCGGTCCTGGGCTCCCCCGGGCCAGGCTTTCGGCATATGAGGAATGAAAGGCATCATCCTCACCACCACCACGACCACCACCACCACCATCATCATCATCATCATCAACATCACCACCACCACCACCACCGTCGTCACCATTGACATCGTCGTCGTCACTTCTCTCCGCAGTCTCAAGACCACCCCTCATCCCCCCCGCGTGCGCGCGGGCACAAATCACCGACGTCGGCGCTGTTCTCAGGGGCGAGCTCTGGGAACGCGAGGGATTTGGGGGCCCTCCGGGGCCCCAGATCTGGCCGAGGTCGGCTTGCTCCCCCGAGACGCCGAGTGCAGCATTCCACCCTGATCTGGGCCGACCGAGATCTCGGCTGGCGCCAACAAGCTCCTTCTCTTCGTCCTCCTACCCCCCCCCGACTTTGGCTCCGCGGTACTCTGGGCGAGTCCGCAAGTGGGGCGGAACTTTCCGCCCTATTTGTCATGCTCCAACCCACTTTGAGGTCGCTGTTTCCACACCGTATTCTAGCAGTAGTATCCACCGACCATCAAGAGAGAGAAACTGCTGCATGTATTTTTCTCCGCCTCAATGCGAAATCCAACTCTCGGGCCGGCCCTGCAGAAAGCACATAGACACGCAATGGACATTCCCCAACGGTGCCTGATATCTGCACATCTTCTCTGAGGCGGAAATGTCTACCCTACTTTTTCGCATCGTTCGGGGTGCAGGTTCGACACAGCTCTGAATCGGAAAATCGACCGAACCACGGCAGATCCGAAATCAGGGACCTCCATCCGGTGTTGCTAGAAGTGGCCCTGGCACAAAAGGTGACCCAAGCCTCCCCAGGGAGGCGCAGGTGGCTTCCGCAGCACCCCTTCGCGAGGCCCAGAGGGCCCCAGAGGCCCCAAAAATGGCTCCAGAAGCTGGGAGTACCTTGGGCCAGGATCACTTCTACCAACGCCTGGCTCCACGGCCTCGCCGCTCCGCACACCTGACTCGCATGGCGCTCTCACGCCCGTGCCTTTTCCAGTACGCGTGTCAACGTCTCGCCCCTACTGGGGCTCGTCAGGGCTCGAATAAAACATGGCAGCGGCATGCGACCACAGCAAGTGCACGTGACACAATACTGCGCACCAATTCTTGGGCAAACACTCACATGCACGCACGCAGCGTGCAGCAATTCCACTGTCTTGGATGACTGCTGCTCTTCTGCGCTGTCCGCCCCTCCCCCGGGATCCTTGTTCATGAGCTCCAGGTCCCTGACCCTGCCCTTGAAAGTCTCGAGCCTCTGCCCGGCCTGCTTCAGCTGCGTCACCTCGGAAGGACAACGCCGGGGCCGAGGCCCGCAGCGGGCACACACGTTCTCCTGCAACTGCCTCTCCTCCTCCTCCTCCTCATCCTCCTCCTCCTCCTCCTGATCCTCATCCTTCGTCTCTCCCTTCCCTCCTCCTCCTACCCGTCCCCCCCTTCTTCCTCCTCCTCCTCCTCCTCCTCCTCCTCCTCCTCCTCCTCCTCCTCCTCCTCCTCCTCCTCCTTCCCCATCTCCCACTCCAACTGCCCCCTCCTCCGTCCCCTCCTCCTTCTCCTCCTTCTCCTCCCCCTCCCCCTCTCCCTCCGCCTCCATTTCTTTTGCTTATGAATAACTCCTCCCTGTCGCCCCCCGAAGGCGGTCGAAAGGGCGGACTGGGCGTTTCGCCTGCGACTTCCTCACCATTCATGACCCTGGAGCTAGAAAACTGGCAACGGCTTCACGGATTGAGGGCGGGTGGTTTTCAAAATGAGGCTCTCGCCGTAGCGCCTCGCACACTCGTCTTAAAAATTTGCACGAGCTTCGCGGATTGAGGGCGAGCCGTTTTCAAAATGTGGCTCTCGCCTCAGCGGCGCGCACATTCATTGTCAAATGTTGCAAGAGCTTCACGGATTTGAGGGCGGGCTATTTTCAAAATGATGCTCTCGCCTTAGCGCCGCGCACATTGTGGCCCCCGCCTCAGCGCCGCGCACATTCGTTTAAGAATACAAATGTTCACGGATTCCCATGGCCAGCGTACTAGACAAGCTGTTTTCGAAAGATTCAGGATTGCCAGGGCGCAACAGTTGCATTGGCAGGGCGCAACAGTTGCATTGATTTTCGGTGTTGGGGTCCCAGGAGTGACATTGTGGCGCGATTCTGGATCATCCAGACGCAACAGTCAGGTTGGTTCGTGGTGCCCTCCCCGCAGCGCGGGCCACATCCTCCTCCTCATCATCATCATCCTCCTCCTCCTCCTCTTCCTCCTCCTCCTCCTCCTTCTTCCTCTTCCTCCTCTTTCTCCTCCTCTTCAAATGTACACAGCAAAGTGGGGTCGTTTGGGGGATCGAGGTCTGCTAGGACACTCGTCGGCGGAGAAAGAAAAACAAATACAATGCAAGGGGATGGGTGGGAGTGGGAGGATGTCAAATGTGGCAGGAGCGCCTCTAGCTTGCCCTACTCTCTCCTCCCCCGTCCCTTTCCCCTCTCCGCCTCTCATTCACACTCCCCATCCCCATCCGTCTCTTCCTTCCCCTCCTCTCCATCACCCTCCTCGTCCTGCTCCTCCCCATCACCATCACAACAACAACAACAACAACAACAACAACAACAACAACAACAACAGCAACAACAACCTCAGTATCATCATCATCATCAGCAGCAGCAACATCATCAGCATCATCATCATCATCATCATCAGCATCATCATAATCATCATAATCAGCATCATCATCATCGTCATCAACATCAGCAGCCGCAGCATCATCAGCAGCATCGGCATCATCAGCATCAGCATCAGCATCATTAGTATCATCACTGCCCCAAGCAGCAGCAGAGTCGTTACATGCAGATTCATCATCCGCAGTTTCAGCATCGTATCAGCATCATCATCACTATCATCAGTAGCGTCATCATCGCCGTCATCAGCCTCGTCATTGCCATCATCGTCGTTATCGTCATCGCCATCGTAATCGTAACCGCCATCATAATCATCACCCTCATCATCATCATCATCATCATCATCATCATCATCATCATCATCATCAGCATCATCATCGTCAGCAGCATCATCATCGGCATCCTCATCATCAGCATCATCAGCATCATCAGCATCATCAGCATCAGCATCATCATTGTCATCATCCTCAGCATCAGCAGCAGCACAATCGTTATTGGTATTAACATTGTTATCTATCATGAGCATCAGCATCATCAGCAGCAGCACCATCATGCTCCGCCTCAGCCTCATTATCCGCATCTGCTCTCGCATGCAGTTCCACATCCTCTTCGTCACCAGCACAACCATCAACATACGTTTCTCCCACTCCACCACCGTGCGTGTATGCATGCTTGCATGCAGACATACGTACACACAAGCATAGAAGGCACACAGAATCGTGCCACTCGATGAACACAACGTCCTGCTCCAACAAGGCGGGATCCCACGTGGGGGGGACACGCATCAGTCAATGTTTGACAGAGTGGCCGTGGCCAGCTGCTCCAGGATCGCCTGACATGGGCGCGCTCTCCGCAGCTTCGAGAACCTCAGGGCCATGTAAACCCGGACACGCTAGACCCGGACACCCAACATCCCTCGAAACCCATTTTTCCAGACAGCGGCACGAACACAAAATACTGCACTGCAACCTTTCCAGGATAAACCCGAACACAGGCCCTAAAAGCCGGCAAGACCCCCCTAAACCCAGACACAGACCCGAATCCTGCAGTGCAGCAGACAAAAAATGCACGGATGCTGACAAATGCGACTTTGCAGGAAAGTATTTCGTTTCCTTGGTTTTTCATGTGCTCGTTTATCTGTGTCCTGGCCTGAGGGGGCCTGAAGAACCGCAGCCCCTTGCAGTCCCGAGTCCCACACGATCTGCACATGCTTCACTGCGCCTGTTTGCAGGTCGTACGCCCTTCCAGGGGATGTGCGGGGCGGCCAGTTGTGCACGACCCGCAAAAAATCTGCTGAGAATATCACGACAGCTCCTAACCTAGAAGTCCTCCACGCCCAGAGGCCATGACCAGGGACTGGTGGCCCAGCCGGAGAGATCACAGCATGCAGAGACGGGGGGAGAGGCGTGCAACCCAGCTTGGCAGGAGAAGGTCGGCTGCTCGATCTGCCACGCTTGCTACAGCTGCAACTGCTAGCACGGGCAGTGGTAAAGACCTTTGGAGACTGGCCTTGATGGTTCGTGGGCTCCTGCAAGTCGTTTGATTTCCCCACCGCCTCCTCCTCTTCCTCCTCCTCCTCCTCCTCCTCCTCCTTCATCATCCTTCATCCTTCTCAAGAACGTCACGGGCTCTTCTCCGACGCTCCACCATCAGATCATACACTATATAAGCTAGTCCAGCAAGAGCTGATAACTTGTATCAGTTCCTTCGGCATCGGAATCGGCTGTCTGACGAATTGATGAGGGCGGGGGGGAGGCAGGATGACGGGGGGGGGGGGCGGGGATGAGGCAGCAGGAGAAGCCCCTGGCCTGCATCTTAAGCGCGCTGTTCTCCTGGCTCAGCTCCTCCTTCGCGTCGAGGCACGACGTGAGCTCCTGCTTAACGCTGCCTGCCTCCTCCAGGCGGCGGTTGCACCACTCGAGGCGCTGTTGCGTCGCCTTGTGCTCCGCCTCCCTGGACCGGGCCAGCACGAGCTCGTCCTGCAGCTGCTTCGCCTCCTCGACCACGCCGCGCCCGCTGTCGATCTCCTGCCTGAGCAGCTGGACCTGCTCCTCCTTCTCGCGCAGCTGCCTGCAGGGGAAGAGAAAACTGCATGAGCGTCGCCCGTCGGAGGTCCGCGCGGATTTCTTAGATCGACGCTGGTCCCCCCTTCTGGCGAAGCCGAGCGCGCCAGGGGCGGCGCCGCAAGTGAAGAGCCAGCGCAGATCCAGAAAATCCGCGCGGCGCTCCGAACGTGTATGCGTGTGCAGTGTTGCTCCTCTTCGAGCCTCTCCAGGTGCCAGCTGTGGTAGAAGGACTCGATCTCGCCGTCGATCGCTTCGCTGCTCTGCTGGAGCGCGCTCCGTTGCTTCTCCGCCTGTCCCCCGAGCTTGCGGTTCGCCGCGCGGAGCCACTCGTTCTCGCGCAGCAGCGCCTCGATCGCCTCCTTGGGGAAACCTGTACCCCATGCGTGGAGATGCATGGGCGTGCACTGGGAAGCTTGGGGGGGCTCTCTTGGGACGCCTTGGCGCCTCCTTGGGCCGCCTCGTGGGGAAACGCAAGGATCCGCAACCGTGCCCCCTGGCACGCTGAGACATGGCAGGATGCCAAGTGCTGCCTGGCAGGGACTCTGGAGATACTCTGCTGGGTCTGCTGGCCGTCTCATGGGGAAACGCCAGGATCCGCCACCGTGCCCCCTGGCACGCTGAGGCATGTCAGGATGCCATGTGGTGCCCGGCAGGGTCTCTGGAGTACTGCTCCCCCCCATCTCTTGCAAGGCCCTGCCAGGCGACAGAAAACCGAAAACCGACCGAACCGACGGCGAAACCGAAACCGACCGAAATCGGCAGGCCGCAAGCATCCTGGAAAGGCGACGCGGCAACGACACGATAATCGACCGAAACGAACAGACCGAGCGCAACCGACTGCGACACCAACGGACCGACCGAACCGCGAACACCCTTGTTTTGCAACGTAGTGCTGCGTGCACCGCCCCTCCTTCCTGGAGGCTCCTGGGCACCCCGACGCTCCCCTGCCGCTCCGCAGAGGGTCCAAGATGCCCAAGGTGGCTGCCCAGAAGGCCCAGACAGGCCACAAAGGCCGCCGAAGATGGCCGAAGATTGCCTCAAGAGCGATTCAGCAGCTCCCAGGCAAACCCCAAGGGCGCCCAAGAGGCCCCAAGAGGTCTCCAAGACACCCCCCAGACGCTCTCCAGGGTGGCCTCGGAAGGCAAAGAGCAATGATGAGATGTTCGATGTCCAAGCTCTTCGGACGAGTATCGCGCCACTTGCTGCCTTCGAAAGGCCACGAGGGCCCACTGCAAACCCCATGAGAGCCCCAACCTTGCCCAGAAGGGCCTCCAGAGGGACCCAAAACGGCCTGAGAAAGTCCCAAGACGGTCCAGGAGGGCCACAAGATGGCCCCACGACGGCCCCCAGACGGCCAAAATGGCCCCAAGACGACCCGAGAGGCCCCGAGAGGGCCCAAGAGGGTCCAAGGCGACCGCAGACGGCACCACGGAACCCCCAAGACTGCCCCACAGGAGCCCAAGACGACCGCAAGACGGCCCAAACAAGCCCCACAAGAGCTCCTCAGGAAGCGGGGAGACTAGAGATGCGAATGCAACGGCCCTTTGGGCGGCGGCCGAAGGGACGCCACGCAAAGTGCTTCGCTTGCACGGTGGCGGATGTGCCGCAAGCACCTGAGCGACGAAAACAAGCGAGTCTCACGTGAGGTGGCATTGCGACCTTACGCAGCGGCTTACGCGGGCCGCCGGCACGGCACGTCACATCGGAGACGAGGGCGCTTACGCACGACCTGACGCGAGCAGCTTACGCGCCAAGGTCGGCGCAGTCGACCCCGTTTGTTTGCGTCGCCCACCTGGATACCGATAACGCTACTCCCCAGGCCTCTCTCGGGGTGCGTTCTGACCAGGACTGCGGGGCGGGCCCAGCCGCAGCGACGAGGACCCCCCAGCCATGAGGCCCAAGAGGGCCAAGACGACGGAAGGGCATGGGCAACCGGTACCCCGGAGATCCGACGTTGCGAACAGCTGCAACATCGCTAGAATCGTGACCAGAGCCCCCGACCGCCACCTTCTCCGTCGCTCTTCGAGCCAGCTCGACCTGTGAGGGCCCGGGGCCCGAGACGGGACAAAACCGCCCGCTCTGCAGAAACTGCAGCGCCTGGATCTCGGGGACGCTGATGGGCCGATGTTCCACCACAACTGCAGTCGGCAGGAGAGGGAGGAGAGAGACGAGGAGGAGGAAGAGCAGGAGGAGGAGGAGGAAGAAGAGGAGGGAGGGGGAGGGAGGAGGAGGGAGGAGGAGGAGCAGGGAGGAGGAGCAGGGAGGAGGAGGAGGAGGAGGAGGAGGAGGACCTCCCGTATCATGGCTCCCCTGCCGTCCTACCCGTGGCAGTGGCGGTCGAAAACTGGCCCCTCGGCCGTGCCTCTCTCTCTCTCTCTCCCCCCACGGCTCCTTCTCCTCGCCCGGCGGCACGAGCGAGGTCCTCGGCCTCGGCCCGCCCCTCTCGGGCGAAGGCGGCTCCGCCCGCCCGGAGCACGACAGCAGGGACGCCCTGCCCGCCCTCGCGGCGGGGGGCGTCTCGCCGCGGCTCCTCCGCGGGCTGCCCAGCCGCTGCTCGACCCCGGTGATGATCTCCATCAGCTGCTGCTGGACGTCCTGCGGCATGCCTTAAGACGAAGCCAGGGCGAGGATAACATCGGGTGAGGGTAATCCGAGAAACTTTGAGGTCTGGCCGATCTGGAGAATGTCTCAACGCTCTGGAACGGATTTGTCCTCGTCCTAGCCCCGTCCGATGCCTTGCCTAGACGAGCGCGTCCCACTACTCGCAAGCATCCGCCGGGGGGGGATCTACGAGAAAGTACATCGAAGCGCGAGTAGCCACTTTGCGAGTAGTGGAACGCGCTCGGTGATTGCCGGGGGCCGACAGCAGAAGTGGATCTTCTTGGAGCCGGCTGTTGGGCCGAGGTGGCCCAGCACCGGTGACGGCCAACTGAGATGGGGGCGACCAAGGGGCCCACTCGTCGCAACGGCGGGACGCGGCTTGAAGAACTGGTCGTTTTCGATTCTGGGAGAGGCCCATGGACTGATTCGGAGCTAATTTGCCATCATCCTCGCTCCTTGACCGATTTTGTCTAGGCTTATCCAGCTCAGACCCCAGCTGTCTCCAACCCTCCTAGATGGGGTCCGAGAAGATAGGGTCGGATGATCGCGCCGCATCATCGGCGACGTCGGTGATGCATCGGCGCCGTCGGCGTGGAGAAAATCGGGTTACACATCGAGCTGCATCAGCGATGCATCGGCAATACGGCGCGATCCTCCTGAGGAGCAACAAAAGTACCCCTGATCATTTGGGAGGGGACCTAAGTTAGGAGGGCCAAAAACATTTGAGATTGGTGATCTTTCTTGCAGATGCCTCAGACGAACCCACCGCCATGATTAGGGTTAACCCTAAAAACCGAGAACCTACGTCAGGCCACGAGTTCGTTGTGTTATTAGGGTAGGGGTTCTATCATGCTGAATGACCTCCGACACCATCTGCTGAGACCCCAGTTGGGAGGCCTGGAGACGAGGAGGTGGCAGTCGAGGCTCCAGCGGCCCCCTAACGGCTCCCCTGGTCGAGGCTCGGAAGGGCGGCGCCCGATCCAAATATCCGACGTCATGTTTTCGTTGTCAAGACGGGATCCCCCGAAGTCCCGACCCTCTCCCCAGGGCCAGCGTCTCATGCCAGTTCGTTTGGTTCACGGCCCAGGGGCCCAGTGAGGGCACCCCGAGGCCGAAAATAAGACAGACACAGAACGCACACACAGACAGCGAAGCACAGCTAGAAGAACAAAACTCCCGTCGTGTCTTCGTTCACGACTCGCGGGGTCTGGGGACCGATGACCCCCAGAACGGGCCAGGGAGCCCGGGGACGCCCTGGGCCGGGAAGCGGCACCCTGCCTTGGATGGCCAGGACGTGGCGCTCGCGCGACTCGCAGCACACGGCGTACAACAGGACGTGCCGCCACAGCCGCACGATGTCGGCCAGCGGCTCCAGGTCGTTGCCACCTCGGGCCGTCTGTTTCCCGAGCATGGAAGCAAAGAGACTGGCATCAGCGAATGAACTGTCCAAGGTCCGCGCGGACTTCCTGGGTCCGCGCTGACCCCCCCCCCTCCCCCTGGCGCACGGAGCGCGCCAGTTGCGGGAGGAGGCGCCGCCAGGGAGGCCCAGCGCAGGTCCCAGATATCCGCTCGGACCGTCGAATATTCATGTTTCGTCGTTTTTCTTCGAAAGCACTGTGCTTGCACCAAGGGGCCCCGTCCCCACCACACACACACACACACACACACACACACACGCACACACACACACACACACCTTTTTGCGTCGGCGGCTAGGCAGAGTGACTGCGCTGGCGGAAGACGCTACACACACACACAATTGTTGCGTCGGCGGCTAGACAGAGTGACTGCGCTGGCGGAAGACACACACACAGACACACACACACACACACACACACACACACACGCACACACACACACACGCAAACACACACACACACACACACACCGACGCCGTGATCTTGCACAACGTGGACATTGCGGGTGCCAAAACCGTGTTGTGACAGACTGCGCGGTGACCTCGAAGTCCCAAGAGACCTCACCGCACTGTCCGTCATCGCACGGTTTCGGGACCCTGGAGGCCCCAGTCGCCCGAGACATCCTCGGAGAACAAGCCGAGTCCCAAAAGCGTGCGGTAACCCGAATCCCCATTGACTCACCACGCGGTGTGGTCACCACACCGTTTGGGGGCCCCCGAGAAGCCCCGACCCGTGGAGGCTTCGTCGCCTTCCCTGGGACCGGCGGACCCCCGCGGAGCTTCCCTGAGATCCGATGACGCGAAAAAATGAAACATCCTGAAAAATCACGACCGGAACCGCAGAAGCCATCTCTCTGCTGCACTTTTCGAACCGCGTCGATCTGTGAGGGTCCCGTTGCCTGAAGGTATGCGAAAACGCCCTGCTCGAAAAAGATCCGCTGCCAGGGTCTCTCGGCTTCGACCCCCTCCCCGAGACCGGCCTCTCCTCCCGAGCCGTTCTGCGTTGACGGTCCCCGGGGCCCGGCAAGGGCCCCGCGAGGCCGAGATGCACGTCCAGAAGACTTCCCTCCTGAGCACTTGCCCCGACGCGAGGCGGCCTGGGGATCTGGCCGTGGGTGGCCATGGGGCCCCGCCCGCCCCGGGCCCCGTGCTCGATGTGGCCTGCGGGCATGGGCTCAAAACTGCGCCTGTGGAGCCACGGCGCGCGAGCTTCGGCGACGGATGTTGCCATCGGAAGAGCAGGGAGCCTCCTACGTTTGACTGGACTCGTGGAAGACAGGCGCGCATCACAAGCTCTGAGCTGAGAGCGCGGTGCACAAGCACAAAGGACCGCGAAGCGGCCTGCGGGAGAGGGCGCTCCTCGACGCATCGGTTCCAGACATTCGGCGTTTCGAACTTCTCGAGACACGGGCCCCCGACCTCTCGACCACATCCCCGGGACGGGATTCTCCTCCCGGACCGTTTTTTCTGGCGGCCTCGAGGCCCGGCGAGGGCCCCGAGAGGCCGAAAACGAGGAGAACCCCCCGCCTCGAGCTGCTCGAGACGCCGGACGTCTGGGGTTCTGGCCCGCCAGCCGCCACCTGCCCGCACAGCGCGCGCCACCATGCCCGCCGCGTCGACCTCCACCGCGCGCACGGCCCCGAGGGCCGCGCCGAGGCAGGCCGCGGCCACGTCGGCCGCGGGCGCCTCGCCGCCGAGGGCGCGCGCGTGCTCCGCGTGCGTGCCCGGGCACAGGTCGCGCACGGCCTGGCAGACGAAGTCCTGTGGGCACTCGTTTTGCCCCGATGTCATGAGAGGCAAAAACCAGACGGAGCACAGCCGGAAATACTACATCAAGAGAGTCATCATGTCAGACACCTAGGCCGGCTCCCTGGAAGCTTCTCAGGACACGCATGGGCCCACTGCTGTCGATAAGGCGGGATTGTCGAACGTGCTCAGGAAACTGGGCTAGCTTTCCGGCAAGTTGGTTAAGAAACGCTGGCCAATTTTTTCGGGAGGGCGTTTCTTAATCATGTGCTCGACCGTAAGTCCCAATGGAGACCGAGCACTCTGTGCGGATTCGCCGTATGGACTTGGCATCACCCGACGCCGCCATAACGAGCATTGGCAGGACTGGGTTCAGTGGAACCTGGTTTGGTGATTTGTGCTTGGGGGCGCCTTCCCCGCCCCATTCCACTGACCAGAGCTGTCGTCACCCAAGAAATACACAAGCCGCGGTAAACCTCGTTTGGTGACTCTGGAACACCCTGTTTTGTCTTCGGGGCCCCATCACTCACCAGCTCCCCTTACCCGGGGCCTTGGCTATGACCCGACCCTACCCTCCCCTGGCGCCGCCTTGACCCCACTGGCCGACTTCCCCACCTGGAAGGGGACGACATCTGCCCGGCCGTCGGGTCCCGCGGGGCCTGTCCGCATCTCGGCGGGCGCGCTGGTGGGGCCGAAAGGCCATGGCCCAGTGGGGGATGGAGACAGGTGACACCATTCTGATCCTGGTCGCCCAGGATGTGGGCCGTGACGCGGGGAGCCGCGCCGCTCGCCTCGAGCCAGCGCAGCAGCAGCTGCACCTCCGCCTCCAGCTGCTCGTCGTCGCCCTCCTGAGGAGGGTGGCGGTCTCGAGGGGCGGCCCCGGCCGAGGCCCGAGGCATCCGAGCTCTGGGGCCCTTCGGGGCCCCTTCGGATCCTTCGCCTGGGCCGCTCGGGGCCTGGCGGCGCCCGCGGCCCCGGCCAGCCCCGAGGACGCATTGGGCCAGGGCCGCCCTGACGGCCTCCTTGCCCGAGAACCCGGTCCTGCTCAAGAGGGCGAGAGACGGCGCCCGTGCCCTCTCTGGGACGGGGCCCTACTGCACACCGGGCCAGCGCCCAGCTCGATGCGCGCCGCCGTGCGTGCGGGCACGCGCGGAAGCGTGCATCGAACTGGTCTGGTACACGGCTGCCGTCGTCCAAGTCTCGACATGTCTGCTCTTGAGATGCTCGAGCGGGGCCGCACGTGCGAAGCCGACCGCATGCGGCGCACCCCTGCGGCAACACCTCGGCGGGAAGGACCCCCGCAGAGGCCAAAGACGGCCAGACACCTCTGGACCCGAAGGCAGCCGCGCCTCCGCGGTGCGCCCGGGCCCGCCAGCAGCCGCTGCCGCGGGAGAGCGGCCAGCGAGAGGGCTCGCCGGCCCCGCTGGCGACGCCATCGGTGCGGCGCGGGCCGCGCGCCGCGCCGGCCGCGCGCGCGTCGCGCTTCGGCGGGGGCACGACGGGCGCACAGCCGAGGGCACTACACATGCCTTCATCCAAGGCCGGGCTAACGGCGATGTTACTTCACGGTGATGTTGGGAACCAAACTGTAGGAAATCACGAACCACGCCGTCCTGCATCTCCAATCTGCGAACGGATCGAGCGGCGGGCACGACACAGCGAAAGGTAAGAACGCGCGAGCCACGAGCTCCCACACGACCGAAACCTACATCGCCGTGGCCCACATCGCCGTTAGCCAGTCTACGGTTCGTGCCCAGGCGACGCAAAAAAGTGCCCAGGCCGTCTCCCGCCACAGGACCGTGCCAGAACTGCTCAGGACGGAGCGCTGGCCTCGGGGAAAGGGTCCAGGCGTCGACGGCACGAAAAACTTGCGACGAAAAACATCCGTTATTTTTCCAATCCGGGCCCCCATGCCTCCCGACCACTTCTCTGGGGGTCCCGGATCCATTGTTGATGGCCACAGGGCCCGATGACGGATCCCAGCAGCTGGAATCGAAGAAAGACGCCAAGCTTGTGACAAAAAAACTTGCCCCGAACACGACGAAGCCCCGCGAGCGCACCCGCCTGGAACAGGAGGGCCCCCGAGAGGGCCTCAGAAGGCCAAAAACACTTTTTGTTCCTAAGGTTTTTCAAGGTTGTTGGGGTTCTCGCATTTTCGGGCCCAGAGGGGCCCCAGACAGCCAAAGAGGTTCCAAAGATTGTCCCACGGTCCCAGGGGCCCCAAGAGGGCCCGAAAAAGGTCCAAGAGGGACCCCCAGACGGCCCCGGAGGGCCCCACAATGGCCCAAGAGGGCCCCAAGACGCCCCCACGAGAGCCCTAAGACGGTCCCAAGAGGCCCCCAAGAGGGCCCGAAGAGGCGGTGTGGGGACTGGGCTGGCCCCAAGACGGCCCGAGAACCCCAAAACGGTCCACAAGGGCGACCAAAAGACTCCCAAGAAGCCCCAGAGACGCCAACACGACGAAGCCCCGATCCGCGGCCCCCCAGCGAGGGCCGACACTTCCCCCCGCGGTCTCATCAGGTCCTGGCCGCGCGGGCGGGCCTGGCCCACTCGCGCGAGTAGGCGGCAGTGGGCGGAGCAAGGAGGTGCCGCGCAGTGGAAGCGGTCCGTCCTTCAGATCGCTACCCTTCACGAGGCCGATCTTGAGACCGGAGCTCATCTTCTCCTCCTGGGTGCGGGAGGGGGACGACGAGGGGGAGGGGGAGGAAGAGGAGGAGAAAGAGCGACCGTACCTTCCCTCAGTCCAGGTGGCGTCCAGGAAGAGGAGCAGAAGGAGGAAGAGGGGAAGAACGAAGGGGAGGGAGGGGGAGGGGGAGGAGGAGGAGCAGGAGGTTAGAGCGTCTGGGGGGGGGACCGGGGGGGCCTCCTGCGGCAAGGTTTGCCGAGGAGCATCACCACGGCCTGCAGGGCTGCTCGAGCCAGGCTTTGGGCAGCCTCCTGCGAGAACGGGGTGGGGTGGGCCTTACTATCTTGGTGGGCCAGCCGAGAAATATGGAAGGGCATAGCAGTGAATTTCAAGGCTTCAGAGGAGGAGTGGGCCAAACCGAGAGCCAGAGGGTGGTCCATGAAAGGAGGAGACTGGGAGATCACATCGAAGTCGCCGGGGCGCAGGCATATGCCTGGGCGAGCAGTGGCAGTGGCAGGAGAAGGAAGAGGAGGGGAGGAGGGGAGGAGGGGAGAGAGGGAGGGAGGGAGGGAGGACGCAGAAGAGGAGGGGGAGGAGGCAGAGGAGGAGGAGGGGTAAGGAGGAAGGGGAGGAGGAGGGGGGGAGGAGGAGGAGGAGAGGAGGAGGAGGAGGAGGAGGAGGAGGAGGAGGTGGAGGAGGAGGAGGAGAAGGAAGAGGAGGAGGAGAGAGGAGGAGGAGGAGGAGGAGGAGGAGGAGGAGGAGGAGGAGGAGGAGGAGGAGGAGGAGGAGGAGGAGGTGGAGGAGAGGGAGGATGGGGGAGGATGGGGAGGAGTGGGAGGAGGACGGAGGGGGCAGGACGGGGGCAAAAGACGGAGTGCGGATGACGTGGGGCGGAGGACGGAGGGCAGAGGGCGGAGGAGGGGGGCATCCCCCCCTGCCCGCGAGGCGCCTCCGCCATCGCGCCCCCGCGGGGCGGCGACAGGTCCGAGTCGGAGTCGTGTCGCGCCTTCTTCGACTCCGCCGCCGCCATTGCTGGGCGAAGGGGGGGAGGATCTATGGCCGAGCCTCCTCCTCATCATCATCATGCTCCTCCTCCTCCTCCTCCTCCTCCTCCTCCTCCTCCTCCTCTTCCTCCTCCTCATCATCATCGTCATCATCATCAGCATCATCAGCATCGCCATCATCATCAGCATCACCATTATCATCATCATCATCACCACCACCACCACCACCACCATCATCATCATCATCATCATCATCATCATCATCATCAGCAGCAGCAGCAGCAGCATCATCATCATCATCATCATCATCATCATCATCATCATCATCATTATCATCATCATCATCATCAGCAGCATCATCATCATCATCATCATCATCATCATCATCATCCTCATCACTATCATCAGCATCATCATCATCAGCATACTCATCATCACCATCATCATCATCATCAGCATCATCATCATTATAAGCATCAGCATCAGCATCAGCATCAGCATCATCAGCAGCAGCATCATCATCCTACGTAGCCGAAGATCCTCATTCTCCTCCTCCTCCTCCTCCTCCTCCTCCTGCTCCTCCTCCCTTTACTCCTCATCCTCCTTCTCCACCTCTTCCTCCTCCTCCCCCTCCTCCTCCTCAGCCGAATGATGCGGAAACCCGAGCTTGAATGAGCACAATAGGCCTGGAGTGAAGTGCACGTGGATGCATCGTCCTCTGGCGTCCTCCATCGAGATCTCTGGCAGGAAGCATCGGGAGAGAGCGTTTGAGACGCGTTCGAACGCACCCACATCCTCAACTGAGACGAGCATCGGCGGCAAGTCCTTTCCGAAGTAAGCGATCTTCACATACTTCACTCCGCCGTTTCTTTCCCGAATCCTACGCTGCTTCCTCATCACCTGGCACAACTCCTAGGGCTTCACGATTCTCGAGGTGGTTGCGGTGTCTGCTACCAGTCGCCACGTCGTGCCATGCACCTGGTAGCGGTTCCAATCGACTGAGCCAATGAAGGACAGCCGACACCGTTCAGAATGTCCCTCACACGTGCCGCTACCCTACCAGAATACCACGGGCTACGTTACTGGAATGCCGTCGCCGCATACTTGTTGTAGTACTGCTACCACGGGCTAATTGCCGCTACCGTGTTGGAAACCACCGTCGAATCCCACCAGCCCTCTGGGCACAAATGGTCCAACGATGTCTTGCTTCCCTCTTCCAAAAAAAAAAAAAACATCTTCCCTTCGGGAAGGGGTACCCTCCCCCTCCCTTCCCAGAGGTTTGTTTGGGGGGGGGGGGGGCGCGAGGTGTCAGAGGGCCCATTTGTTGCACAAGATCGCTCAAAGAGGGCCCCCGATGCTCAAGGATGGCCTCCAGGATGCCACAAGATAGCGCAAGATCGCTCAAGATGACCTCTATCGTGTCTCTCCAAGAGGCCCCAAGAGGGCCACAAGACAGTTCTAGGTGTGCATGTTCGGGACCCCTCAGGACCTCCCCGAGAAGACAAAAATCCTTCAAACACCAAAAGGATAACCAATGTGTGGTTGGCTTCTCGCCTGTTTGCTCCCGATGCGTTTTTGCTGCCTCAAGATGGCCGCAAGATGGCCCAAGAGAGCTCCAAGAGGGTCCAAGGAGGTCCCCAAGACGGCCCCGAGACCGCCCAAGACCGCCCCAAGGGGACACAAGAGCGCCCCAAGAGGTCATGCTTAGGCCTCTTCGGGGGGGGGGCTCTTTTATGGCCTCCAAGATGGTCCCAAGAGGCCCTCCGAAGCCCCCAGGGGAGCCCCAAGAGAGCCCCAAGAGGGCCCCAAGAGGGCTCCAGGACCCCCCAACAGAGACCCAAGAGGACCCAAAGACCCCCTAAAAGAGAGATCCCACATCCTTCGACCCATGCTCTAAACTGCCCCAAAACGCTCTCCACGGCCCGACAATTCCCAAGAGGGTTTCCAGACGCAAGACCCGACACAAGAGCCCCAAGAGGACCACAGGACCTCTCGAAACAAGCCCCAAGAGGCCACCAAAGGAACCCGAAGGAACACCAATACCAGCAGCGCCAGCAGCACCACCAATACCAGCAGCGCCAGCAGCAGCAGCACCATCAACAGCCGCACCACCACCAGCGCCAGCGCCAGCACCAGCAGCACCACCACCGCAAACAACAGCACCAACAGCACCGCCAGCATCGCCAGCACCAACAGCACCAGCAGTACCAATTCGAGCAGCTCTAGCACCAGAAAGTTCCCAAGCGAGCGTCCAGACGCAATACTCGACACAAGAGCCCCAAGAGAACCACAAGATCTTCGAAATAAGCACCAAGATAGACGGTACTCTTCCCTAGACTGGCTGCTTTAGGGTGGGGTGGTGGGCACTCGCGAAGCGTAAACACCTGCCACAGGCTACTTGCCGAGCTACTGCAGCATAGGCCAGGCCAGGTTGTTGAATTAAGAGGCACGGTACGCTTGTATCACTTGGGTCAGTTGGGTCGGTTGCACCACTTGGCCGAACAGGGGGCGGGTTGTCGCTACCTTACTGGAATACCACATACGAAATACAGCTTACCCTCCTGGAATACCGCTACCACACGGTAGCCGCTACCCCGCTAGAATACCGCAGGCGATTCGCCGCAGGCGACTTGCCTTGCGACTGCAGCATAGGCCAGACCAGGCTGTTGGATTACTTGACAGGGTGTGGGTCAGTTGGGTCAGTTGCCCCACTTGGGGCAATTTGGTTTGTTGGCCCAGGGCGATTGCACAACTTGGGACAGCTGGGTCAACTGCTCCGAAAGCAACTGGCCCAACTGACCCAAGTGGTACAAGCGAATAATCCGCCCGCGTTGGACGAAGACAAACCCAAATAGCAAGTATACAGAAAAGAAGGGTATATCATAAACTAGAAATCGGCAAAACGTAATACTGCCACCACTGCTAACACCACAACTACAACTACCACCACTACCACTACTACTACTACTACTACTACTACTACTACTACTACTACTACTACTACTACTACTACTACTACTACTACTACTACTACTTTTACTACTACTATTACTACTACTACTACTACTACTACTACTACTACTACTACTACTACTACTACTACTACTACTGCTACTCCTACTACTCCTACTACTCCTACTCCTACTACTACTACTACTACTACTACTACTACTACTCTTACTACTACTACTACTACTACTACTACTACTACTACTACTGCTACTACTACTACTACTACTACTACTACTACTACTACTACTACTACTACTACTACTACTACGATTGCTGCTACTACTACGACGACGACGACGACTACGACCCCGACTACGAATCCGACTACAACTCCGACTACGACTACGATTACAACTATGGCCACGACTACTATTGCGTCCCCGCAGCTGGTAGTGCCTCTCCTCCTCCTCCTCCTGCTGCTCCTGCTCATCCTCATCCCCCTCCTGCGCTTGCTCCTTCCCATCATCCCCCCTCAATCCCTCTCTCCCTCCCCCATTCCCTCCCGACTTCTCTTGATCCCCCCCTCCTCTTCCTTCACCTCCTCCATCTCAACGAGGGCGGCGGTGTCCATCCTGAGCTGCCCGTCGCCTTTCTCGGGGGAGACAAGTCGGAGTCGGAGTCGTGGCGCTTCCTCGGGCGGGGGGGGGGGTGGGGGCAAGGCCGACAACAATCACAATCGCGATCAGCATCACCACCACCAACACCACAAGCATCAGCATCATCACCATCACCACCACCATCACCATCATCGTCACCACCACCAACACCCTCATCACCAGCAGCACCACCGCATCACCACCACCATCTCACTATCAACTATGCTAACGGAGTTCCCCAAATAAGGATGTTGAGGGCTTCGTGGGGTCAATGACGCAAAATAATGGCAATGTCAATGGAAGGGTCATCGCAAAGGTACGTGTGAAAGAAATGGCAGACGAAGGCAGGGAGGGGGAACAGCAGGGAGTAAGACAATGGCTGTTCAGGAAGCACGTTCGTCCCTGAAGGAGTGGGAGGGGCACGAAACCTGATAAGAACATGGTTTGCGAATACGCTCCTCGCTCCGGCGGGGCCCCCCTGGAGGGCTGGGAGGGGCACGAAAGATAAATAACATGGTCTGCAAACGCCCGCCTCGCTCAGGCGGGGCCTCCATGGAGATGTAGGAGGGGCACGAAACCTGACAAATAACACTGTTTGCAAATTCCTCCTCGCTCAGGCGGGGCCTCCCTGGAGGAGTGGGAGGGGCACGAAACCTAAAAAATAACACTGTTTGCAAATTCCTCCTCGCTCAGGCGGGGCCTCCCTGGAGGAGTGGGAGGGGAACGAAGCCTGTCAAATAACACTGTTTGCGAATACCCTCCTCGCTCAGGCGGGGCCTCCCTGGAGGAGTGGGAGGGGCACAAAACCTAACAAATAACACTGTTTGCAAATTCCTCCTCGCTCAGGCGGGGCCTCCCTGGAGGAGTGGGAGGGGCACGAAACCTGGTAAATAACATCTCCTCGCTCAGGCGGGGCCTCCCTGGAGGAGTGGGAGGGGCACGAAACCTAAAAAAATCATCCCGGCGAAGGGCCCAACCATGTGCAGCTGTGTGTAACGCAGGTGTGGGTATCGGCCTCGGTGAACTTCCCTCTGAGACCATGACGCGTGTGACGGGTGTGCCAAAATTGGCACGGGTACGCCATGCGGACGCTGCCACAGGAGCCGTCGGTGCAGCCCCATCTGAGGCCACGAAACGCGTGAGTGGTGCGCCGAAATGCAGGGTGGAACCACGTGCGGGCGCTGCCACCAGGGCCTTTGGTGGCCGCGAAACGTGGAAGGGGTGCGCCGAAATGGAGGGGAAACTGCATGCGGAACCTGCCACTGGGGCCCTAAGTGGAACACTCCATGGGGCCACGAAACGTGTGAGGGGTGCGCCGACATGGAGGGGGAGCTGCATGCGGACTTGCCACGGGGGCTTTGAATGGAGCACCCTATGGAATAACGAAACGTGTGAGGGGTGCGCCGAAATGGAGGTGGACCTGCATGTGGACCCTGCCACTGAAGCCTACGGCGGAGCACCGTATGGGGCCACGAAACGTGTGAGGGGTGCGCCGAAATGGGGATGGAACTGCATGCTGACCCTGCCACTGGGGCCTTGGGTGGAGCACCCTATGTGGCCACGAAACGTGTGAGAGGTGCGCCGAAATGGAGGTGGAACTGCATGCGGACCTTGCCACTAGGGCCTTCGGCGGAGCACCCTATGGGGCCACGAAACGTGTCAGGGGTGCGCCGAAATGGGGGTTGAACTGCATGCGGGCCCTGCCACTGGGGTCATCGGCGGAACACACCATGGGGCCACGAAACGTGTGAAGGTGCGCCGACATGGGAGTGGAACTGCATGCGGACCCTGCCACTGGGGCCTTCCGCGGAGCACCCTATGGGGCCACGAAACGTGTGAGGGGTGCGCCGAGATGGGGGTGGAACTGCATGCGGACCCTGTCATGAGGGCCTTCGACGGAGCACCCTATGGGGCCACGAAACGTGTGAGGGGTGCGCCGAAATGGGGGTGGAACCGCATGCGGACCCTGCCACTGGGGCCTTCGGCGGAGCACCCTATGGAGCCACGGTACGTGTGAGGGGTGTGCCGAAATGGAAGTGGCACTGCATGCGGGCCCTGCCTCTGGGGCCTTGGGCGGAGCACCCTATGGGGCCACGAAACGTGTCAGGGGTGCGCCGAAATGGGGGTGGAACTGCATGCGGACCCTGCCAATGGGGCCTTCGGCCGAGCACCCTATGGAGCCACGGTACGTGTGAGGGGTGTGCCGAAATGGAAGTGGAACTGCATGCGGACCCTGCCACTGGGGCCTTGGGCGGAGCACCATATGGGGCCACGAAATGTGGAAAGGGTGCGCCGAAATGGAGGTGGAACTGCATGCGGACCCTGCCACTGGGGCCTTCCGCGGAGCACCCTATGGGGCCACGAAACGTGTGAGGGGTGCGCCGAGATGGGGGTGGAACTGCATGCGGACCCTGTCACGAGGGCCTTCGACGGAGCACCCTATGGGGCCACGGAATGTGTGAGGGGTGCGCCGAAATGGGGGTGGAACGCATGCGGACCCTGCCACTGGGGCCTTCGGCGGAGCACCCTATGGAGCCACGGTACGTGTGAGGGGTGTGCCGAAATGGAAGTGGCACTGCATGCGGGCCCTGCCACTGGGGCCTTGGGTGGAGCACCCTATGTGGCCACGAAACGTGTGAGAGGTGCGCCGAAATGGAGGTGGAACTGCATGCGGACCCTGCCACTGGGGCCTTTTCTGGAGCTCCCGATGGAGCCACGAAGCGCTGTAATGGGTGGGTGAAACGCAGGGAGGAGGGAGGAGAGGGAGGAGGAGGGAGGAGGGGGAGGGGGGAGGGGGCAGCGGGAGGAAGGTGGGAACGCGGGGCGCTGTCTCTTCAAAACGAGGACCCAACACCACAGGATGGCTGGGAAATAGCATTGTTTGCGAATGTCCTCCTCGCTCAGGCGGGGCCTCCCTGGAGGAGTGAGAGGGGCACGAAACCTGCTAAATAGCATGGTGTGTGAATGCCCTCCTCGCTCAAGCGGGGCCTCCCTGAGGTGTGGGAGGGGCACGAATCCTGATAAACAATATGGTTTGCGAATGCCCTCCTCGCCCAGGCGGGGCCTCCCTGGAGGAGTGGGAGGGGCACGAAACCTGATAAATCACATGGTTTGCGAATACACCCCTCGCTCGGGCGGGGCCCCCCTGGAGGAGTGGGAGTGGGAGTGGCCCCTCTGGCGTTGCCTCCCTGGAGTGGTAGGTGTGGTATGATAGCTTTGGTATGGTAGGTGTGGTATGGTAGGTGTGGTATGGTGTGGTGTGGTATGGTATGGTATGGTATGGTATGGTGTGGTGTGGTGTGCTGTGGTGTGCTGTGGTATGGTATGGTTTGGTATGGTATGGTATGGTATGGTATGGTATGGTATGGTAATGGTAATGGTAATGGTAATGGTAATGGTAATGGTAATGGTAATGGTAATGGTATGGTATGGTATGGTATGATATGGTATGGTATGGTGTGGAATGGTGTAGTGTGGTATGGTATGGTATGGTATGGTGTGGTATGGTATGGTATGGTATGATAGGGCATGGTAGGGCATGATATGGTAGGTATGGTATGGTTGGGTAGGGTTGGTGTGGTGCGTATGGCTGGTTTGGTATGGTAGGCGTGGTATGATAGGTGTGGTATGGTAGGAATGGTATAGTAGGTATGTTATGGTATGGTAGGTATGGTATGATATGGTAGGTACGATAGAGGAGGAGTAGGATAGGGGAGGAGGAGGAGGAGAAGGAGAAGGAGAGGGAGAGGGTGTTCTAGGAAAACAAGAGCCCCGCTCAGGATGTGGAGAAAACACCACCATCGTCATCGTCTTCATCATCACCACCGTCATCGTCATCATCATCATCATCATCATCATCATCATCATCATCATCATCATCATCATCGTCATCGTCATCGTCATCAACATAATCATCCTCATAATCGTCATCATCGTCATCAACATCATCATCAGAATCATCATCATTATCAGCATCATCATCGTCATCGTCCATCATCTCCGTCATGAAGAGCAACATTGTGGTCGTTACCACCACCACCACCACCACCATCATCATCATCATCAGCATCAGCAGCAGCATCATCGCAATCCTCATCCTCATCATCATTATCGTCGTCGTGGTCATCAGCATCATTATCATCAGCAGCAGCGGTATCATCAGCAGCAACAGCATCAGCGTCAGCGTCAGCATCATTATCGTCGTCGTCATCATCGTCGCCGTCATCATCAGAATCGTCATCATCATCAACAGCATCATCATAATCCTGATTATCAGAGCAGCAGCAGCAGCAGCAGCATTATCATCATCGCCGTTGTCATCACCATCAGCATCATCAGCATTAGCATCAGCATCAGCAGCATCATCATAGTAATCATCAGCATCTGCATCGTCATCATCAACATCATCACCACCACCAGCATTACCATCATTATCATCATCATCATCATCAGCAGCAGCAGCAGCAGCATCATCAGCAGCATCATCATCACCATCACCATCGGGAGCAATGCCAACAGCCCTGAACGACGCCGCGCCGTCACGGCCCAGAAAGGCCCTTCGACACGCCGGATCGCGCAGAGGAGGGCGGGACGACGCGGGCGGCCTCCTGAAGGCCAAGGAGTGGGGTCTCCCAGAATACCGGCCCCTCCGCACGAAGGCCTCCGCGAGAGAGCCTTCCTGTCCTGGAGAGGGAGCTGGAGAGCCAGGGCCTCCTCGGGGGCGGGCATTGGGGGGGGCCTCGTGCACGGAACAGGAAGAGCACATCACTGCAGCCCGAGGTGGGCATGGTCCTCCCACAGGGGCGTCGGATCCGGAGCCACATGGGCGCGTGCAGCCAGCAAGACACGTCGGAACTCTCCGGCCTCAGCCTGTGCCGAGGCCCACGCTGGCGGCATGGGTCAGAGAAGAAACGGGGACCACCGCCAAGGAGAACCCCTCGCGGGGCACCGTCCCCCTGGGCTGTGGCACGCCTGAGCGTCGTCATACGCTGGGTGTCGCTGGGGCGCCACCGCCCAGGGGTCGGCCCCCTCCCGATGGGTTCTCGATGGCGGTGGCCACCCTTTCTCCTCTGAATGTGGCCGATTCTGGGGGCCCCCCATAAAAAACTCGTGGGGGTGCGATGCTGTACTTCCGCCAGCTTCCAAAAGCCTTCCGCTGGCGGAGCAGCCCTCGGTTTACTCCCGCTGGCTTCCACCGGCCTTCCGCCGACTTCCGCCGAGGAGAAAACGAAAACTCTTTCGATCCTTCGATAGCGAAGCATTTTCTGGAGCGCCCTGCATGTGGAAAGGTGCAGCAGAGGGGACGAGTCCGATGACACCAGCACAAGGAGTTCTGCGCAACCCACGCTGCAAATTACCAAAGACTATCACACTAAAGTCAGCGGCACGCATATTCGAGCCAGCATTCACACACGTTTCAAGTGCTGATAGATGTTCGAGTCGATAACTCCCCAAAAGCACTGCAATATAAGCACAAGAAGCAACAGCCAACGACAAGAGGCATAAACAAGCAATCGAAACCAGCAACCAAGAAAATGCCGTGGCAGAGACTGCGGCAGGAGGAAGGCCTCGGCGACGCAGGCACGCGAGGCCGACGGCTGGATCCCTGACCAGAAGACTGGTTGGCCTCCGCAGACGGCCCCCCGTTCGCACGCAACCACCTCTCCCCCGACACCGCGACTGCTTCTAGCTGCTGCGAAGACTTGGTCGATGACCAGCATGTGCCCCGCCTGCGGACGTCAGACCGTCCCCCCACCGTCCACACCCAAAGAGGTTCGTTCAGATGCGACCTACTCCGCAGCCTCACCGACACCTGCCCTGCACGCCGCTGAACGGGGCATCTAAGGCCAATCCTCCTCCTCCTCCCCCCTCGCAGCCCTCCTTCCTGGCGCCTCACCCCTGGGTGGGGGCTCTGCTGACATCCGCGGGGTACATATATTGACCTTAACCTCCCGATGCCGAACCGGCGGTGGCCGAACGGCGCCCACCGCGACCGTGAGAGACGGACCTTTCCGGGAGGCTGCGCCCCACCAGCAGGGCCACGCCCATCCTCAAGGGTATCAGAGACCGCCACAGAACTCAAAACCCTCGCAGCCTCGCTCCCACACCCTTCCGAGTAGTGCGCGCTCAGTGTCAGAGCCCCCCCCCTCCGGGACCCCAGCTCTGGCCAGAAGCATCGCGCTCTCCCCTCAGACGCCAGCCACGGCAACCCCCCGTACGGCGGACATCGGCCTGTCTGCCCGCCAGCGCGCGTGCGCACTGGCCCGTGTGCCTTCGGAGCCCCCTCAGGGGCCCCGGCTCTGGCCAACATCAGCGCGCTCTCCCCTCAGACGCCGGCCTCGGCGGACAGCGGCCTGTCTTCCCGCCAGCGCCCACGTGCACTGGCCCGTGTGCCAGGGCTGCCAGGGCTCTCGGCTGGACCCCGAGTCAGCGACGGTCGCGGCGGTGTTCGTCCACCCGCGACGGGATCGCAGGCCGCGGGGGAAGGGCGCGCACGAAGAGAGCCTCGCGAGGAAGGAACCAAGCCGAGGAGGCTGTTTCTTCGATAAGGAGGCGCCTTATGAGCAGGAAGTGCTTTCAAAGAGCCCCCTGCCTTTTGGAGATGGCCACCCCCCTCGACCAACACCCTCCCACATGCCGCCGAGGGGCAGGAACGACTCGGAACCCGAGCGGGCAGCTCCGCTGAGGCGCGCCAAAAGCGGACCTTGGTTTGCTCCAGCCCGGCAAGCGAGTCGGCGCCTGGGAACAATCCGCGGTGGGCGCCCTGGACCTGCCCAGGGCCCCCGTGTGCACGATGATGCGGGGGCGGCACCCAGTTCGCGGTGAGTGCCAACGAAAACTGGTGCGAGGTGTCATCCGCCCCCTCCCCCTTCCCCCCCCCCTCCTCCGCCTCCTCCGCCTCCTCCTCCGCCTCCTCCTCCCTCCACCGCCCGCCCCATGTCCCGAGCTTGTGACAGGGTCATCGTCTCGTCGTTATCGTTGTCGTCGTGGTCGTCGTTGTCGTCGTGGTGGTCGTCTCGTCGATCTGGGTCGGCGGCACTGGCATAAGGCCTTCACAACATACCAGGCCGTTGCGAGGGGAAGCTGCGGGCAGACAGACAACAGTTTGGACCAAAGCAGCATCACGATACTGATGTGTGATATGGACAGTTGACTGTGTGTCATGGACAGGGTATGAGAACACCTGGGCAAGGATAACAGGGTCGAATGGCCAGTAGATGGCGAGAAGCAAAAGATCCAGAGGCAATATTTGCTGAATCCGTGGGAAGGGCAGCTCGCCTGGGCCTGGCCCACCCAAGGCACACGTTCTATGACAACGCTCTGACGGTGGCCAAGCTTGGCGGCGGCGGCCAGCGCCCAGATGTCCTATGCGCCTCCACCCCAGCGGCGGGCCCGCCAACCGCTGCCTTCCGCGGCGGCGACAGGTCCGAGTCGGAGTCGTGCCGTTGCCCCTTAGCTGCTGCCTGGGCGGCAGACCTTTCCGTGGCTTTCCGCGGCGGCGACAGGTCCGAGTCGGAGACGTGTCGCTCCCGCTTCACCTCTGTCTTGGCGGCGGGCCCGCCCGCTGCTGCCTTCCGCGGCGGCGACAGGTCCGAGTCGGAGTCGTGCCGCTGCCGCTTCACCTCTGCCTTGGCGGCGGGCCCGCCCGCTGCTGCCTTCCGCGGCGGCGACAGGTCCGAGTCCGAATCGTGCCGCTGCCGCTTCACCTCTGCCTTGGCGGCGGGCCCGCCCGCTGCTGCCTTCCGCGGCGGCGACAGGTCCGAGTCGGAGTCGTGCCGCTGCCGCTTCACCGCTGCCTCGCAGCAGAGCGAACGGCGACGACGACGACGACGACGACGATGACGTTGACGTTGATGACGACGACGACCAGCACCACAACGAAGGCAACGACCTCGACGACGACGACGACGACGACGACGACGACGACGACGACGACCACAACTACTACCACGGCGACGACAACGACGATCGCGACAATCACGACGACGCCGACGTCGCCGACCATGACCCCGACTACGAGAGCAACGACTGCCACGACGGGAATGTTGGCGACGACCACGACGACGACAACGACGACCACGACCATGACCACGACAACGATGACGAACACGACGGCAAAGACAGCAACGCTTGCGATGGCGGCAGCAGCAACGCTCACGAAAACGGCATCGATGACAGCGACCACGGCGACGACGGCAACGACAACGACGGCGACGACGACGGCGACGATATCGAAGGCAGCGACGGCAGCAATGACGGCGACGACGGCAACCGAACGGCCAACTGCCGCCGCGGCACTGCGGCCTCGGGCGCGGGACTACGGCCTTGAGCGCCGCCGGCCCCTGGCTCCAGGCCGGCGGCCGCCGCCTCCGCCGCGGGCGCCCTCCTGTTGGAGGCGCTGGCGACGACCACGACGACGGCGAGGGCGACCACGACCACGACAACGACAACGACGACGACGACGACGAGAACGACGACGACGACGGCAAGGACGACGACCACGACGAAGACGAACGCGACCGCGACATCGGCTACTACGACTACTGCTGCTGCTACTGTTACTACTACTACTACTACTACTACTACTACTACTACTACTACTACTACTACTACTACTACTACTACTACTACTACTACTACTACTACTACTACTACTACTACTACTACTACTACTACTACTACTACTACTACTACTACTACTACTACTACTACTACTACTACTACTACTACTCCACTAACTACTACTACTACTACTACTACTACTACTACTACTACTACTACTACTACTACTACTACTACTACTACTACTACTACTACTACTACTACT